ATTGATTTCAAAATATTTATTACCATGTCAACATGAGATTAGTGCTCCCCTTTTTTGCAACTTGATTATGTTTGGTTGTGATTTGATGCTAGTTAATTCTTATCACAAGTTACGTACAAAGACAAAAACAAGGACTTGTGAAATTTAATTTAGGTTGTATTTTTTATATAAGGAAAAAATATTTTAAGATTCACCAATTTCATAATTTATATGGTATTTAATACTATTAAAATTTATTGAATAATCAAATTTCTTGAATAAGATATTATAAAAAAAATATTCTCAAAATTTCAAAGTAAACGCGTTTTCCATTTTTAAGTTTTGAAAAACAATTTTTCAGAATGGCAAAAAAAAAAACGCATTTTCAGAAATTTCAAAACAGACACTCAAAACACAAAATAAAAAACGAATTCAAAACTGAAACACAAAGAGAACGACCCCTAAACAGCTCAGTTTGATTCGGTTATGATTTTTTTTATGATCACTTTGTTCACCCCTACTATTAAGTGAGTAGTAAAATAAATCTTACGAAAACGTGTGGTATTGGGTGCCAAAAAAAAAAAAAAGAAAAGAAAAAGAAAATCATGCTAGTTGTTCATTGATACCCATCACATAGGGGGTCATTTTTTTATCATTTTTTATTTTTCACACCGTCCCCATGTGAGTGGAGTGTCGTCGTAAATGTCAATTTCTAATATAAAAATATCATTATTGAGAAGAAGATTGACATCGAAGTAACATGTGCCAAAAGTTGAGGACAACGGTGTCAATTTCCCTTTTTTGCTTTTTTTTTCCTCTAAATATAACTCGTCATCTTCCCTACGTCATCACAATGACGACCAATTAATAAACACTTTTTAAAATTAAATGCTGTGTACACGTTTATGTAATTATCATTTCATCTTTTTTTCAACTTTAATTATCTTTAAAGCGAACGTGTGTGGAAGAATCTTCTATTGCCGACATAAAGACGAAGTTGGTGCATAAGTCATTATCATGGCTTTAATCACCAACAATTTAATTATTTAATCTTACGTAATACTTTCGTAAAAAGGAAAAAATAAAAAAAATAAAGTTAAAATGATGTGTTAGGATCCATAATGTGCATATCGTTTCTTTGGCGTGACCATTCAACAAGATGCTATGAGGACTCAGAAGCCGTGTGAAGATCCCAACTCGTGGGGGTGAAAATTTGGTCAAAAAAAAAATTGGTGTTGGTGTTGGGTCTCGTAAATGCGATTCGGTGTTAGTTTGGGAGAGATAATTTAATTTAATTTTTTTTTATTTCTTGGGAAAAACCCAAATAACATATGGATATGAGCGACGTCCATATTAAGAATTGTGCTAAGAAAATATACCTAATTTGCTCAATTATACGGAATATAATGAGAGAAATTTTATGTATGCGAATTTATATAATATTAGGCACAATCCTAATAACAAGTATAAGATAATAAGACAATGCTATATGTACGGATGAAGTGTACATATAGAGTTACAGAGTGCCACGTGACATCATTTCATTGAATATGTGACAAAACATAGAGTTAAAATAGCTAATTACAGTCTGCTATGTGACATGTATCCCCTCTCTCTACAAACAACATTGTTCAATGTTATGGCCCGTTCGACTCTCATTATTTGAGATTATAAGTTTTGAAATCGTGTTTTTTGAAGAATGTGTGGTTTAAAAAAGATTTTTTTTTTAGATTTACGGGTAATATTATTTTTATTTAAAAATGTGTGATTGATAAGAAAATAAAGAAAAATATATTATAATTTTAATGGGGGTCAAACGGGGCGTATTGGCGTAATATCTTCATAAATCATCTTATTTTTCAATTATGACCCGATTTTTTTTAAATTCGCCATGGCTTTAGTATTTCTCAAGAACAAACAATAACAATTCGTTTAGTATGACTTCCGTTTTTCTTTTACTTATATGTAGAAGGGTTTTTTGATGTTAGTTTTCTCCAAAAAAATATTCTAAAATGACGAAACACTTTCAAAAAATTATGTTTAAAACAACTTTTTATTCTCAAAAGCATACCAAACTGGAAACGGTCCTAAGCTTTTATTATTGGAAAATTTTCATTTCTAAGATGTTAAGTATGTTTCATTTAAAAAATAAGAAAACAAGTTTCAAATTTCAAAAATCAGATTTTTTTTTAATTTTTATTTATGAATTAATAAATTATTAAATAAATTTATTAAATATTTAATTCTAATATAATATAATTAATCCACTCATTAAATATTTAATTCCAATATAATAAAATTAATCCACCTCATCTTCACCACCTCTATTACTTCGGGGACTATTCCAGCGACCGTTTCGACCACCACTCCTCCGACGACTTTCCCAACCAACGTTTCGACGACTGCTCCGATTCTGACAATTATTCCGACGACTATTCCAGTGACCGTCACAGATTTATATAATATAGTCACAAATTCACAATTTAGTTAGTCACATATTATTTTTCGATCACAGCTCAAAAATTTTATAGGTCACAATTTGTTTATCAGTTAGGGATCAAAAATTTTGTAGGCCACAAATTATTTCGAGATCACAAATCAATAGTTTTATAAGCCACGGATCCAAAAATTACATGTCACAGTTATCTATCAGTCATATATTTTCAAATTTATTGGTCATAGATTAATTATTAGTCTCAGTTAGATTTTTTTTTTTTTTGTGACCACCCCTAAGACCACCAGCGACTTCTAACCATCACTGTCTTTGTTGCCAAAACCAACAACACCACCCCAGTGACCACCACCGACTTCTGTGACCACCCCTATGACCATCACCGACTTCTGAAACCACCCCGTGATCACCACCTCACCACTGTCACCTGCCGCATCATCGCTGCTGCCAACACCACCATCGTCAACAACCACACAAATCATCCACCGCAAAAACGCCTCACCTCGCCAATATCCACCATCAACATCACCAAATCCACCCGCACCACCACCAACATCCAAAAGCAGCTCCACCACCAACCACAAAACCATAGATCCACAATCACCAACACCGCAAAATCACCAACCACAAAATCACAGATCAATAATCAGTGTAAAAGCCCAAACCAAAACCGCATCCACCATCACTAACCAACAATCACCAGGGACAAAGAGAGACGGGATAGCAGCGAGGGAGAGGCATTGTTGTGAACGCCGCTTCATTTTCAGATCCACCGTCCATCATCCCCAAAAACCCAGCGCTCATCGCTTCTGTGATGATGCCGTCGGTGGGGAGAGAGTGAGGCTTCGCGATAGGGTATCGTGACGGGGCAGAGAGAGAGAGAGAGAGAGAGAGAGAGAGGTGCCGATGGTGCGGTGCCGATGACGGGGTGGTGTAGGGAGAGAGAGTGAAGGCGACGATCGGTTTGCATAGAGAGACGATAGTTATGAAGAGAGAGAGGGAGATGATAGATTGAATAAATTAGGGTTTGTTAATTGTAATGTGTGTATATTTTAATTAAGAGCATGTTTGGTATGGATTTTGATTTTCTACAGTAAATCAATTCTCATTTTCAACCACACATTTTTCAATAAAATAATATTTTTCATCACATCAATAATTTTTTCTTCTTTTTCAACCACACATTTCCCATCATATCACTATTCAAAAATCAATTCTTCCCCCAAAAATCCCTACCAAACACACTCTAAATATAATAATATTAATTAAAATAAAATATCTGATTTTGAAAATGTGAAACTTCCATCCTAATTCTGGAAATGTGAATACATAAACTATGATTTTGTGTAATTTCCACTTTATTATTTGTTCAATTTGTTATCAATTTCTCTGACCCGTAAGCATGCCGCCCAACATCTCTAAGAATCAAGCCCAGCCCAGCTCACTTGCCTAGATGTATGGCCCATAGTATACTGGCCGTTCATCTTCTTCTTCTTGTTCTTCGGTTCAGCTTCTCTCTCTGCAGTCTGCACTACACACCGATACTCTCAATTTTCTGCAATTAATCGAAAACTTCATCAAACAAATATGAATCCACTTTTTCGCTTCGTATTTGCTTCATGATCAAGCACTACACAGCGATACTCTCAATTTTCTGCAATTAATCTAAAACTTCATCAAACTAATATGAATCCACTTAATCGCTTCGTATTTGCATCATGATCTAACTTATAAATTCAATTGCAGAAAATGAACAAGATTAGGCAGATTTATCAAAAGTGAAAAGACTCTGATTAAGATTAATTCTGGACTCGGACATTCAATCGAATTCTCTTCGGATGAGATTGAAATTTCCTGTCTTTTGCTCTTCAGAGACCTCTTCAACCTTTTCTCCAATGGCAGGTGCGTTTCGTTTCATTTACATTTACATTTACATTTATATCAGTAGCGTGTGTTATCCATATAAATTAATATTTTATTTGGAAAATTATGAATTTAGGAGAGAAAAAATCGCCGATCAAGCGTAGAGATAGGGCCGCCGTCGTTGTTCTTGGAGACATTGGGCGTAGCCCACGTATGCAATACCACGCTCTTTCCCTTGCACGTCAGGTATACGTTTGTGTGCGTTTTAGAGTTTTGAATTTTAAGATTGGTAGGGTTACTCATGACTAACTTGCTTGATCGGTTTAGTTGCTATTTAACTTTTTGTTGACTTTTTTTTTTTGCGTAAGAACGGATTTACCTAGTTACTATCAAATATCAATTGACTTCTCTTCTTTAATTTCTGGTGCTACTGAATCGCAATCTGATGTACTCGGTTGATAAATATGCATATGCTTATTGATAAAAAACTTCACATCTTATGTCACCGGAATAACAAAAAAAATTGGATAAAATTTTGTGTAAGAGTTGGAAGAATAATCTGGCTGAGTGCAATTGGAGTTGAAGTTATGTTCAGAACATCATTAACGAGACGTTCATTACTTGTGATCAAGGAGATTTGTATCAGACAAAAGACTTTTCTTGTAGAAACTTTATCTGATTTCTGGTTTTTTCTTTTCACATTGTTATTATTTTGAACTTCTGATTTCTCTTGCAGGCCTTTCTAGAGGTTGATATTGTTGCATATGGAGGTATGCTTGTATCGTATGATGGCTGAGTGAAAAGTAACTTCTATTCGTTTGTCAAAGTGTCTAGGTTCTTTTGTTTGAGTTTGTAATTTCTATCATATTGTATTGTTTGATCAAATAATTTATTGAGTAAAGCAGATGAATCATTAGTTCTTACGCATTCTCTTGAATGGGAAGTTTTATAATTTTTGGTTAGGTTCAGAGCCTCACAGTGCAGTTTTAGAGCACTCATCTATCCATATTCACAAAATGGTATGGTTACTCATTGCTAGACTGATTGTGCTTAAAATTCTCAAGACATTAAGAATAAAACTATTTTGTTTTGGACAGCCGCAATGGCCAACTAGTGGGCGAAGTCTGCCAAAGATATTTCGTCCCTTAATGCTTATGCTCAAGCCAATTGTTCAATTTCTTTTGCTGCTTTGGTATCTTTGTGTGAAGATACCGGCTCCTGATGTCTTTATAGTCCAGGTGAGCTTCAGACTTGTGCTTATTCAGTCATTAGAAATATGACCTGCGATGTGATCATAATTTTTTGTTATCTCAACTGTCGTATGATTGGCTTTTGTTTTATGATAATGCTGAATTTTGTGAAACTTTTTTCTTGTTCCTTTACCTTAACAGGCATATGTTTAGAAATTTCCTTGTATCACTTGATGTGATTATCGTAGCTTTTCATTAATGAATATTAAGTTACATGAAGCATGCAAATGAAAAGTTTGTTTTTATGATAATTGCTGAGTTTATTGGAAATATTCTTGTTCAGGCCTTGTATCAAAATGATCAGTCATTTGAAAAGTGATGTTTGATGGGATTCATCTCAACTGTTGTATGATTGGCTACTATGCTAATGCCAAATTCAGTGAAGCATTTTCCTTTTTCATTTGCCTTCTATAACAGGCCTGCTTTTAGAAATTCCTTTGAATCTCTTGCTGATTGTCACTGTCTTAGCTTTTCATTGATGATTTTTAAGTTACACAATGCCTGCAAAGGAAAAGTTTATTTTTATTTATGTACTATTGCCGAGTTCAATGGAATATGTATAGTCCTTTTTCAGGCATTCAAAATAACCATTTCATTTTGATTTAAATCTTGATTGTAATTGATAGGAAAAGGTAGATTTTGAGTTACTACTGTTTTCCATTCCCAGATATCTTGAAATCCTTATGTCTTCAAAATCTTATACACCCCAACACGTGCAAGTGGAGGTTGTACCAAGTTAGGATAAATGAAGGGATGGATGACTTAGATGGCTGGGTTGGAGCATTTTTTTGTGGACCTAAAGAAACTCTTGTTGAAGAGAGTGATTGATCCCAGTAGAACAAGCTAGAACAGTGAAATTCATGCTAAAAATTACATGCCTAATATGGTTGCAAATGGTTTGATTGTTGATGAGATCTGCCACTATACATAGTGTTGGATGGAATGGATTGGCAAAAAATGTATTCATGTAGCTTCCATATTTATTGGGAACATGCATTAGTTTGTTGTTCTTGTTCATGACACGAGAAGTTCTACAGATAGCCCTGAATGTAGCAATTTAAATTCATACAGGCATTTTCACTTTGTTTGAGTTCTCCAATTGTTTTTACCGTAATTTTTCCTGTTTCCAATTATCTTTGTTTGTGCTTGAGCGTGCATCACAACCTAATTTTATTGGCTGTATAATCTATAGTTGTGCTTGGCATCCTGGTCTAATTTTGTTTGCTGGCAGTCTGATTGGATCTCAATTATTGAACTATTTCTTGTTACTTACCCTTCGAAGAAGCAGCCTGGTTCACTTATGTGACTTTGACTTGCAGAATCCACCATCTGTTCCTACCCTAGTAGGTGTAAAGTGGGCTAGCTGGTTGAGACATTCGATATTTATTGTAGATTGGCATAATTTTGGATATACATTGCTTGCATTATCACTTGGAAGGAGTAGCTTATTCGTGTCACTATATCGTTGGTAAAGTTCAATTCCTATTAATATTATTTTAATCAAACTGAGGATCTGTCTTTGCAAATTTTGAAATATGATGAAGTTTTGGTATATGCCTAGGATTGAGAAGCGGTATGGCAGGATGGCCCATGGTTCTTTGTGCGTGACCAGGGCAATGCAACATGAATTGGCTGAGAACTGGGGAATTAAGTAATAGTATTATCTCAAAAATATCTCATATATTTCTATCTACGTACTCATTTACTTGCTCCTTGTGTTGCACTATCACTTCAATTAGGGTAGCGTGTCCGTGTTGGACATGTCAATTAACCTCACTACTCGCCCCTAGACACTTATTTATCTGCAATATTATATTTTTTAAACTTAAAGTTATTATTAAATAACAAATATATGCTCTTACGTAAAAGACTCCAACGGGAATAATTAATAACAAGTATAAAACTAAGGGTGTGTTTGAGCCATATTATTTTGGAAGAATGTATTTTGAAATTGTAGATTGATGGAGAATGTGTGGTTGAAAATGAGGGAAAAGTGATTACACCCAAAGTGTTACGCGGTGTTGTAGTATAGGTTTGGGGTGTCGTATCCACAGGGAGATGGAAAAATGAATCAAGAGGTTCAGGAAAATTCCAAGAAATTAATGAAAAATATTTAGAGTGCGTTTGGGACACATTCTTTTGAAAGAATGTATTATTGAATAGTAGATTGATGGAGAATGTGTGGTTGAAAATGAAGGAAAAGTTATTGATGCGATGGAAAATATTATTTTATTAAAGAATGTGTGGTTGAAAATGAGTAGAAGAATGAGAATGAAAATTTTAATGTGGCTCAAACATGGGCTAAATTTATACCATGTAAATGAAGAATTTTAAAGAATTTAATCAATCCGTTAGCGTGTCACTTGTCCGTGTCAGTTCGTCATAGCTTGTTCCTATGTTACTTAAGTGCATCATATTTGCAATCATATAGCTTGTTCCTATCTTACTTAACTGCATCCTATTTGTCAATCATAGCTTGTTCCTATGTTACTTAACTGCATCCTATTTGTAAATCATAGAGCCACTGTTCTGTATGATCAGCCCCCTGAGTTTTTTCGACCTGCTTCCCTAGAGGAGAAGCACAAGGTAACTAACTCTATTTGTCATAGAATGCTTTAAGGAGGCATTGAATTTCAACAAGCCTTAATGTCAACAACAATCTAGTTATTTTGCAGGATCAGCAAAAGCCTCAACCAGCCATCTGGTTTTCAGGATTGCATTAGTAATGGTAAAGTAAAGTAGTGATGTTGTACTCTATTTCACTGCTGATATTGTGAGAGTGTTGGCTAATTTGATTTAAACATAAACCCTTCTGGCAGGAATGACAGCATCAGATAACAATGATCCTAATGTAACTCCATTTACAGCTCAGCTTGGCACTGATATTTTCCTGAAGCATAATGGACCAGCACTCATTGTTAGCAGCACGAGCTGGTATGTTCTTAATAAATTGATTCCTTGTCATCGTAGTGTACCTGAACTTACTTTTCCTTTCATGACTACCTGCGTCCTTGCTCTAGATCATATGAAAATAAAGGAAGGAAAGAAAAAAATCTCTGATAAACTTGGGTTGGTAATGTAGCCATGTATTTGGTGTATTTCTTGAAAATTATTACTGTAATGGAATTATACGTTTTCCCAGGACTCCAGATGAAGACTTTAGCATTCTTTTGGAAGCAGCACTCATGTATGATAGACGTGTTGCTGCACTATTAAATGAGGATGACGCGACCAGAGATGAAGTTGTTTGGAAGGAGATTTCTGATGGGAAGAAATTCTCATACCCGAGGTTGTTATTCATCATTACTGGTAATGATTGTTCATATTAAGCAATCTTAATTTAACTAGTAGTTTCTTTGCATGTTACAAAACTGAATATAATCTTTTTACCTGAGTGAAGGTAAAGGGCCTGAAAAGGAAAAATATGAACAAAAAATAAGGAAACTGAACCTCAAACGCGTAGCATTCCGTACGATGTGGTTATCAGCGGAGGATTATCCTTTGCTTCTTGGTAAGTTTTAAATGGTTGATGGCTTGTATTTCACTTCCAATAGGTAAACAGTCTTATATCTTCCTTTACTACGTGTTCAGGGTCAGCAGATCTTGGTGTTTGCCTGCATACTTCTTCATCAGGGTTGGATCTACCCATGAAGGTTGTTTGTGTCCTTAATCTGTTTTTATACACGGAAAAACAATTTTACAGCAATTCATTTAAGCTTTAGTTCCTACTCCTTGCAAGTCTCTCTCTCCCCCCTTCTCCCTCTCCCTCCCTCTCTTTTTGTGTTGTGTGTAAGAGATACACTTGGAACTTTCTGGTTTATTAGGTTGTGGATATGTTTGGCTGCGGACTCCCCGTCTGTGCTGTTTCATATTCTTGGTAAGATCTTCTGGTGGACTTTGTAAAACTGTAAAGATATATTACATTTTAACTATTTTTCTTGTCTATGTCAAGTATCAAGGAGCTGGTAGAAGTTGAAAAGAATGGCCTCCTTTTCTCTTCGTCTTCAGAGCTAGCTGATGAACTCATGGTAAGCTCGTATGAGGAAGCTGTATAGCAGTTTTGAAAGCTAATATTAATTACATTCTTCGTCCTTCAAGAATAAATCATAATTGTGAAACAAGAGGACAGTGGAGATCCATAATATTTAGTTTCCAATTCTTTGTTGATGTCACCGTTTCTTTCGAGTGTATACCCGGGTGGGCTCTCTCAAAAGGTTATATTGCATTGTAAGTATGGAAAAGGCAACACCATCTGTCAAATAGGCATTCAGAACAGCATCCAAATTATATAGAGTGAGAAATAGTGACAAATCGAATTGGGTAGGCCCAAATATCTGGTGATATTAAAGAAATGTCTTCAGAAGGAATTAATCCTGTGGATAAAACATTCATAATGCGTAATTTAAATACAATCTTAAGATTAAAGTAATGATAAAGGAAATCAAATAGACGTGATTGGAAAATGAAATTGATGACGAACTATATGATGGGTTTTCTTTTGACAGCTATTCTTATTGCCAGTCTGGAATATCCTGAAAATATAACGGCAAAGTTCTAAAATGATTTCTTGACCCCTGCAGATGCTATTCAAAGGTTTCCCAGAAAAGTGTGATGCATTAAACAAGTTGAGGATGGGCGTGATGGAAAGGGTATCTTCAGCAAGGTGGGCGAACGAGTGGGAGGAAAATGCCAAGCCCTTAATATCCAAGGCAAGTCTACTATCCTTAATCTGGAGTTTTTGGTTACTCTCTTGTACATTTTCTGTTATGAAGTTTTCAAGTGAAATTTATTCAGGCTTTGAGATCTCTTTGCCATTGATTTAATCCTATTCTAGATCACTGAATCAATGATAATATGCACTATTTCAGGTCATTTCTGAGAACTTCAGCTGAAGGTGCAGGAATGTAACATCACAAATTTCTGTGTTTGAAATTTGCTTTGTGCACATGTATGTAGATATTCCTAACTCCTCGAGTCTCTGGTCATGAGGGGACTACTCTTGCTCACCTGCCTGCCCCCTACCTGAAAGTATAGCATAGAAAGATGGATCATTTTCTTTTAAGTGCGAGTGGATTTTGTTACTTATGGTTAAGCACCTTTTAAAACTTGCAATGGAAGTCAGTATATTTGGAGCTCAGTATGATAATGTGACAAGTTATTCCCTATCCAATTTTCGCTCCTTCCAATGCAAAAACTTCTGAAACTCGATTAAGAGCATGTTTGGCTAAGCTTAAAATCTAATTAAAATTGAAATTATAGTCGTTATTGGGTTTCACTCGTCTAATAAAAGTCAACAATAACGGCTAGTTTTTCAATTTTAATTCGATTTTAATATCTAACGAACATGCCTTAAGTGTATGACCGGAAAGTAAGGAACTTCTTAATTTAGTAAACCAATTACGTCTTTCTTGATTGAGTCCGTAGATGGATTTGTTGGGACGGCGTACAAAATTTTCTTTCTCCCCCAGTGGATAATAACCTGCGGCAGTTGCATGTACACCTCTTCAGTGAGAACTACTTGAAGAATGCGACGTTGACTTCAAATGCGAGTAAAAACCTTTTTTTTTTTAAAAAAAATATTTTCTATGCTAAAGAAAGAAAAAGAACAGTAGCAAGCTTTGTCACGAGGAAAAATATGTTCATAAAACAAAACATCCCTAGAAGCATAAATCTTTCTTGTTTCAAGATCATAAATTTTATATCCCTTTTGTCCAAAAGGGTACCAAATAAATATACCAGGCTTGGAACGTGCATCAAATTTGAGTTAGTGAGGTGAAAGCTTATGGGAAAAGCCTATATACCAAAAAACTCAAAAGTTGAGTTGCCTCAAATCATTTCACGAGGCGATTTACCATCTAGGACAGACGAAGGAATTTTATGATTAGATACAGAGTGGTAAAAATGCACTCTCCCCATATATTCAAGGGAAGGTGACTATGAAATCTTAAAGTTTGAGCAACATCAAGTAAATGACGATGCTTAAGTTCCACGACACTGTTTTATTGTCGAGTAGCAACACAACTCTGTTGATGGATTATCAAGTCGAAGAGAAGAATTAATAGAAGTAGCACCAGTCTTTGTTATTTGTGCAATAGAATCATCAGCCATTGAACACTTGAGAGAGGTTCTCAATGATTTGTGGCTTCACTATCAATGATCCATGTATTATTAAAAGAAGTATTGAGAGCAGTACCTGCAAAATTAGTCAAATGATCATTTTTACCTTAGTTGAAGAATGGCTAATATTCAATTATACTGTTCTTGTGTTATTGCAGGAGAAGATGTAGTGTTTTGCTCAATGCCTGAACTAGGTTACACTGGTTGTTCAGAAGTCGCGGCTAGGCTACGGCCTATGAGGTTTAGAAGGACCTTCCGAAGATTCATTAGAACAATACTTTGTGTACAATTCATGGTTGACAAGGAATTCGACAATCCATGTTAATTCAAATTCGAATGGGCGGGAAAGTGAGTGGTGATTAAAAACTGGCCACTCAACCTTCAACACGTGGCATAATGTCAAACTTGATGTCAAAAAACTTATACTTGTAGNAGCAAGAAAAATATAAATACTACCTAATAAATATATATACATATGAAAATCGTAGGGACAATAACTTGTAGATAAGAATTATGGATAATCGAATTTTGCCAAGATCAGTTCGTACCAGGGACCGTGCAAACTATTTTCTAAAGCTGTGCCAAATCCAATCACAACACCTTCCCCCCAGTGATCGCACTTCCATGTATCAACTGCTACTCCAACCTTGAACGATAGCTGAAAAATCCTCACAAATCCAAGGCCGGATTGTAGGGCGGCCAGCACATCTCATACAAAGTTTATGAGCAGCTGTAGCTTAGATGTTGGAATCCATTCCTATACATATCAATGTGATGTCAAAGCAGGGGCACCACCTTTCGACTCAAGGACAAGGATTATTCCGGAGACTCTTTTGGTTACATTCATGAAAATGATGAAGATATGAACTTCTCGAATTTAGAGTTCTATAATGAATTTACAAAATCTCCTTCGCTCCAAATGAATACCACACTAGAAATATGATTACGAGGAGTATGGTTAGGACGCATGAAGTATACCTCTTTAACTTTTTTTCTGATTATTTAGTGCAATGCTCTATGATTACTTTGTACACCTGAACCAGCAACCTCGCATGCTGTTGTCCTCACAAAGAAGCTCAATATTCTGAATGACTTGTGAGTGACGCGTAGGGAGGGGGGGGCAGGGCTGGGAGCCTTGCCCTGTCGCAGCCCCCAAGCCCATTTTATCTTTAGTGTAAAAAACAAAAATTTCTTTGGATTTTCTTTTTCATTTTTGTTGTTGTTGTCGTCGACGTTGTCCTTCCTAGCTCTGCCCCTACTTGTTACGATTCTCCAGACTGTGGCTCAGTACAATATGAGGATTTCCTAGCAGGCATTGTGATTTTACTTCACCTGACTATCTAAAATCATAGCATGGCCAATACAATAACCAGTTTCAAAATTCTGATTCCCCTCGCTATCGCTACTTCTAATTCTCTTGGGAAATTGGTTTGCAGGATCCTCACATGAAGAAACTTTTACACGAGTCAACTCATGCCCCTCATTACTTTGTTGGGAGCATTGGAATCAAGAAAGAAAAATATTGCTCGACTGGAGTTGCCACGTAATTTACTTAGACAACTCTTTTATTTTACATATATCAGTTATTATTGAACCATCTTATCTAAAAGTTTAAACCGTTAGATAATGACAAACTTAAATAATAAAAAAGATGAATACTAGCATGCACGGGCTCGATATTTGCACAAAAGGTACACTAGTTTAGGTACAATAAACACAATGCTAAAATATACCAATAAGATAAAACACGGATATTACAAGTAACTCTTGGGATTAGAATTCACGAGGGAGATAAAAAAATCTACTAAAAAAAGTAAAAATTTAGTTGTTTAGCCTCGAAATCATTAAATTTCATGGAATAAAAGCTTAGTCTACACAATTGAACTACCCCACAGACGTTATTGATTTTATCTTTTGCAAAATGGTACACAAACAGGGAATTATATCCAGACACACAGAAACCAGAGTTAATCACACTGAAATTAAACTGAAAAAGGAGAAAATAAAAATAGAAAGTAGAGTTTTTGAGTTCTGCAAATCTCATCGAGCCTAACTTCATCAACATGCAACGTATAAACTATTAATTTGATGCCTTTTTCAAGTAGTATTTTGAAGTTTGAGTAATGTGAATTCGATTAGGTCTAACGAAATTTGTGCAATTATAAAACCCTAATTGTGTATTATAAATATGCCCTCTTTAGGCACATTTCTCAAGTTTTAGGGTTAGCCCATTTTTGGTATTTCTCAAAAGGGAGGCACATAAGGAGAACAAATGAGAAGATCTAAGGGAGGAAGCGCTTTGCTAGGTAATTAAAAGTTTCTTCAAGGTTATCATCTTATCCTTATGTGTGACGATTTAAAAAAATCCAATGATCTCAAGATGATCTAAGATCATTATTTACTTGGGTCTAATCTTCAAAAGAAAATTAATTTCCTTTTATAATGATTAAATCCAATAACCAACAAAAACTTGCTTTCAAACCGAACACCGATCAAATCAAGAAACTTCTACGCACCTGAAAGACGACATTATATGAATTCTTGGTACGAAAAATTGCGGAGAGAAGATGAAATGAGCAAAGAGAAGTTCACTCAAAAATGCCTGAAACAAACTGAAAAGTGCATAAAAAACCTGAAAGGTGGGAATTTATTTCAGCTAGTGAAAGATAAAAGGCAAAGGCCAAACGCCATGACATGAAATTTTGCATTTACTATGGCTTTTTCTGGATTGTATTTGTATGGGTAGAGAAAAGAGCTAGAGAGAAATAGAAAAACACAAGTTGATGGGATTAAATTCTTTTTTATTCTTATTTTTTCCTCCTAGCTTTTACATTTTTTCTTGGGACAGTCAGTTGAGAAAGTGTGTGGTGTTTAAAAATTGGCCACTCAACCTTCAACATGTGACACATTGTCAAATTTGACGTCAAAAAAATTGTACTTGTAGCATGGTTGGATTCATTATGGGTGCTTGGTGGATATCCATTTAATTTGTAGCATTTATCAATACTGTGAGATCGATTCTTTTTCACAATAACTGCATAAATAATGGTGGCTGCCAATTCTGGATGTGCGTGTTCTGTGTGCACAATATCTGTACAGAACGTGCACGCACAATAGGACAGGGAGTTGTCGTCCAGCCCTAGTCTTTCGCCTTAGAAAGTTCTTCTCTGCACGATCCACAGATGGTTCCCTAGTTTAGGTACAATAAGCACAACGCTAAAATATTCACAGCAAGAAAAATATAAATTCTACCTAATAAATATATATACATATGAAAATCGTAGGGACAATAACTTGTAGATAAGAATTATGGATAATCGAATTTTGCCAAGATCAGTTCGTACCAGGGAAGTAAACGTGCAAACTATCTTCTAAAGCTGTGCCAAATCGAATCACAACACCTTCCCTCCAGAGATCGCACTTCCATGCATCAACTGCTACTCCAACCTTGAACGACAGCTGAAGAATCCTCACAAATCCAAGGCCGGATTGTAGGGCGGCCAGCACATCTCATACCAAGTTTATGAGCAGCTGTAGCTTTAGATGTTGGAATCCATTCCTATACATATCAATGTGATGTCAAAGCGGAGGCACCACCTTTCGACTCAAGGACAAGGATTATTTCGGAGACTCTTTTGGTTACATTCATGAAAATGATGAAGATATGGACTTCATGAATTTACAAAATCTCCTTCGCTCCAAATGAATACTAAACTCGAAATATGATTATGAGAAGTATGGTTAGGACGCATGAAGTATACCTCTTTTTAACTTT